TCACTATATACTTTGTTATTAAACATATCAAACCAAATGAAAAGATCGCACTATTAATATGAAAACTGGACCACAAAATCGCTTGTAAAAAAAAAGGGGATACTATTCCAGGGGGGGTACTATATGCAGCGCTATACGGTAACTATAGAGTTATTAAACTACAGTTAATTGCAAACATTTTGATTGGATAAAAATTAAAAGCTTTTATATGTGATAATATTTTTGATTAATACATGACGCTATCATATTACAGTTACAAATTAGTTTATATGAATCATTTAAAGTTTTATGACATATCAGCAGACGTAAACCAACAAGCTCAAGCGGGTTTGCCTAACCAATAACGATTTGAGTCCCAAACTAATTTAATATAGTTCCATACTAGCTAATTAACATCTCTAGTAAAGCATAATGCATTTCTATCATCAAAATCGGGAGTTGCCTATTTTTTCGGTAATATATGCACAAGACCGCCACTTTTTACTATACGTGCGTACTGTGCAAGAAATCTAAAAACCACGATCTTCTCTTTAAATATATGTATAAACAAGTAACTCACATGGAAATCAAATATAGTATTTCCTAAATTATAATCTCCAATAAAAAATGTATATGTAAAGTACTTATTGAAATCGATAATTTAAGAAATTGATTTCAATGTGCTACTTGTACTATTACCATAGTGTAGATTGAAATATCGAAATGAATTGTTATACTTATAAACTACGATCTAATCAAATCATGACTATTTCAGTATTTACAAGCAAATTTTCCTTGTAAATAAATACTTACACAATTCGAGTATTGTCTATTTCCATACGTATTACATAAGCGCAAACTTTTTTATTTGCGAAGATCCCGTCACATGATCGCAAAACTTTGTTGGCGTTGGGGGAAATTCGGAATGTTCCGGAAGTCATATAAGCCATATGACTTGTTTTCTATAGTTGCTGACAATTACGTAATACAATTTGCTAATACAAAAGTTTAAATAAGTTAATAATAAAAATATAAATTAAAAATTAATGTTTTTCCCTGGAATAGATTGGTATCAATTACCTTGAATTTTAGTTGGACAACTAAATTCGTTTGTTTGACTATCAGCAATGTTATGGATTGTATGGTCAGGAGAAGTTAGGGTCGCGCTTTTCCATTCACATCATTCATATTTCGATATAATTATCGAAACAATTCAAACAATTCAAATAATTCAAATAATTCAAATAATTCAAATAATTCAATAATTCAAATAATTCTAATAATTCAAATAATTCAAATAATTATAACTTAGATTTTTTAGTACGGATTGTAAAACCAAGAATATCAAACAATAAAATACTTGTGACAGATGATGAATTGGTTACAAACTAGAATTGGTTAAATCAAAAACTTTTATAATTGTTGATTCATGTAAGAGTAGGTGTCATTATTTTCTCTAATAAGGTTTTTTCCAAATGAGAATTAGGAAATTAGGCAACAAAAGCGTGACAAAAGCAGTCAATACAAAAGCTAATTGGATATTTGTGAACGAGCGATCAAAATACATTATCAAACCTATTACAGTATAATAATTCCAATTATTACTTCATTATAATAAATTGACACGTATGATGCAATTATTATTATATTTGTCGTGGATATAGTGGATTTTTGAATTTTTAATGCTAACAAAAACCTTATAAGTTATTTCCTATTTTTACTGTAATAAGAAAAAAGAAATGATTTTTCATATACAGAATTTCCTTCTTTGGATATGATTTTACCGTATAGTGGGTGAAGCCTTTTGTTTATTTTTATTTGTTTATTGTAGAACAAAAGTTAAGACCTAGAAAAGAAATTTCTATACTTCTATGTATCGTGCGATATATGTTAGATAATGCATAGTTGTGGCTCTGCATTTTTTAGGTAATTTTTCGGTTTGATCGCCCTTATACAATATGCCTTTTATAGATCATTGTTTTTGTTTATATTTAATGGGTCGCAAAAAATTTAAATGTATCTTTCATTTTCGCTTATTTTAATCAAAAAGCTCCGATTTAGAGAAGTGTGTACGTGAATACAAACTACGAACCTTACTTTCGAGTTGTACCTTATTCTTTATTAACTTTGCTCTCGTTTTATGTTTAAAAAGTAACATAAATTCCTTGCAAAGCTTTAGTCCGAGACAGGTACTGCAATCTCTCTTGGCGATTTGTTGTTGTTAACTCCGGTTTTTTATGAAAGCTTTTCTAGATCTATTTTTTCTCTATTTTTAGGCTTTTAAAAATGTCTTTTAATTCTCAATACAACACGGTATGTAGAATTTGGAATCTATGCATTTAAACTTGTGGCTATTATCAGGATTCACCACGCGTTTTCTCGTTTATTTTAGATGTTTTGGTTACCTGAAAATGAAGTACCATATTACAATACAAATATATCGGATAATTCTCAACCTTATTTTTATGAAGGAAGTAGTGAACCTTTGACCGAAGACCAGATTAATGAAAATCAAAAACGTTCTTGTACGCAGTGGTTAGACTTTGATGATCAAGAAAGGTACCGTATCGTGTTGATTGACTATTATTTTTTTACTAGTGATTATTATAGACTGATGTCTGCTTTATATAATTATTATTTTTTTCATATGTATGCGAATACTTTTTGTCGATTTATTGAATTTATTTAAAATTCTTGTCAAATATCATTTTACTAATTTTTTTTTTTTTAATTTTATTATAATAGAGCTACTAAAATGGCTAAACTTGATGAATCAGAATTATCGACTTACGGTGGTCCTGAATTGTTGACTTACAGAGATCCAAATTTATCTTCATATAGTGAATCAGATTTATCTTTGTATGGCGAGTCAGGTTTGTCATCATATGGTGATCAGGATTTGTTAGCATATGGTGGTCAAAGTTTATTGTCATATGGAGAACCGGGATTTTCTACCTATGATTATTTACCTTTTATCGGCGATAACACGTCTATAGACAAGCAATTTGAAATTGATGAACAAGTGATTAAACCATATAAGCTTGATGACCTTCCATCCTTACAAGTAACCAATCAGTATGAACAAACACCTTTACAAGTGGCCAACCAATATGAAGCTGAAGAGCAAATGTCTTCACAAGACACTATTCAATTTGATATTGAAGACGAAATACCTTTACAAGATATCAATCTGTATAAAGTTGAAGCGCAAACACCTTTACAAGAAATTAATCAATATAAAGTTGAAAATCAAACGCCTTTACAAGAGATAAATCGGTATAAAGTTGAAGATCAAGCACCTTTACAAGAGTATAAAGTTGAGGAACTAACACCTTTGCAAAGGAATAATCAGTATCAAGTTGAAGAGATTGAAGTGTATAACATTAGCGATCAATCATCTTTACAGGAGGCTGAACAGTTTGAAATTAATGATAACTCAACTTTACAGGAGACTAAAAAAATTAATATTAGTGATCTATTATCTTCGCCAGATACCATGCAGTACGACGTTAATGATATATTATCTTCACATGGGGCTAAGCAATACGAAATTGATGAAAAATCGTCTTTACGAGATACTAAACCATATGCAATTGAAGTGAAATCACCTTTACCAGATATTAAACCATATATAATTGAAGTGAAATCACCATTACAAGACATTAAACCATATATAATCGAAGGGAAATCACCTTTATACGATATTAAACCGTATCAGCAAGATGTCAAACCGCAACTTACCCTGGATTCTGAGTGTGAAATAGAGGTTATCGATCTTACAGAAGATGATGACCCTCCGACGACCTCAACACCCTCAACATCATCAACACTCGTAGATAAAATTAAACAGGAACCCTCACCTTTTACATCTTCCTTACCTTTTACTTCTATATTGCCCACTACCAATAACGCTGTATTTCAAACTGCTTATAACATTTTGTCTCAAAATGTTAATAGTCCTTTATCATCTAATGTTAATAACAATTTATTGCACAATTTCAAAAATCCTCCTTTGCTCAATGAAACTAAGCCAAATATGCTCGAAAATAGGCCAGGCAGTTATTCAAGATCTATAAATCTTCAAGATCTTTTGGATATGATACCTCTGGACGAATCTGTTAATACTCCTGTTGGAGAAGCCATGCGTAAAATAAAAGCTCGCAACGGGATTGTTCCTGGCTTATCCATCCAGCTGATGGATCATCAAGTAATTGGTGTTTCTTGGATGGTGGATCAAGAAATAAAAGAAAAGGTTAGAGGTGGTATTCTCGCTGATGACATGGGATTAGGCAAGGTATATTACTTTAATAATAATATGTAGAAGCAAATAATAATAACAATAATAGCAACTATTATCGTCATTATCATCATTATTATTATTTATTATTTTTATATTATGTACAATTTATAATTGATTATATATATTTATATTGTTTTTGTATATATCTACAATTTGCTTTATATTAGACCGTCCAAACCATAGCGACTTTAGTGTTAAATCGTCCCGATACAAAAAAATCGAGATCCGCGAAATCGACACTAATAGTTGCCCCAACAGCCCTTATTTATCAATGGAAAAGTGAAATTTTAAGTAAAACTGAACAAGGTATCTCTCAAAATTTCGTTGGTAGTAAGCGTTGTAAACTTGTATTAATATGGCTGCGCTACGTAACACTACTTGCCATTAAATTCCCAGTTTAACAGCTGTTATTTTGATTATATTATTTCCTGAATAATTAATTGTATTTAAATGGATATTTTATTAGATCTATTCTCTGTACATGTATACCATGGTCAAAATAAAGCAAGTTTTCATAATTTGAAAAAATACGACGTAGTAATTACAACCTATCAAACTCTCCTTCGTGAGTGTCCCGAAACTGAAGAGGATGATAGAGGTTCTTTATTCAGAATGGATTGGTTCAGAGTAGTTTTGGACGGTAATACCGCACAGTAAGGTCATTATGATTGTAAAATGTTTGATAGACTTTTTTAATCAAGGTTTCGAATCTTAGAGGCTCAGAATATTAAAAATCGTCATTCTCGTGCGAGTAAAGCATGCGCCCATTTATCAAGTACTTATCGTTGGTGTTTAACTGGTATTTTTCATTTTCACGCCTATGAATTTTATAAAATTTTTATAATTTTATAATGATTTATTTCATGAAAAAATTATTTTTTGTCATTTACAGGTACTCCAATCCAAGTATGTATATTTTAATATTTTATCAGTAATTTAATTAACCAACTTACCAATGATTTTTTTTTTCTAAAATAAAAATAAAAATAAAAATTAGAATCATATAGATGATCTTTATCCTTATTTCCGTTTCCTCGATATTGCAAATTTTTCGGATTGGCAAACGTTCCATGAACAACTTAGCTCTGCATCGCAAAGAGCTATACAAAAAGCACAAACTATTCTTCGTGGAATCCTTTTGCGTAGGACAAAGGATTCTAAATTGGATGGAAGACCGTTGTTGCAACTTCCCACAAAAACAGTAAATTTCGTTAAACAAGATTTTTCACGAGATGAAAGAGAATTTTATGATGCAGTATGCGTTATTTTATAAGATCAGAATATTTCGAAAATCTTGACTCCTTACCTAAAAAATGATCATTTTGTTAGCTTGAAAGACGATCAAGGATAGAATTTAATCGTTATTTAAAAGAAGGTAAATTATATTTATGTCATTGTATCAACACTACATCAGTATTAAATCAGTGTTAAATCAGTGTTAAATCAGTGTTAAATCAGTGTTAAATCCGTGTTAAATCAGTGTTACATCCGTGTTAAATCAGTGTTACATCAGTGTTAAATTAACATTAAATTAGTATTAAATTGGTATTAAATTGAGTCAATATTTCATTCGTATTATCAACTAGGATCCGTTTTGAAGAATTATGCATATATTCTTGTGATGCTGTTACGTCTACGTCAGGCATGCAATCATCCATTTTTGTAAGTTTCATTACTAGAATCTTGAAGAAAACTTTCTTTTGAGTAACACGATCGAATATAAATTAAAATTAAGGACACAAGAAGATATTGGACACGTTATTACATCGGCTGGTGATCAGAGATTGTTACGTCATCCACCATCAAATACCCATGCCCAAGAGAAAAATACACCTAATCAATTTGAACGGGCCAAAAAAATCTTGTCTGCGAAAGTAATTGCCCGATTGTTTGAGGAATATAAGGATAATGGTCCCGGTGAATGTCCTATTTGTTATGATGTGTAAGTATTGGTATTGGTTAATTTGTCAGAGAAGTTTAGTACCGGTTTTTTGGTTACATATGCCTAGTATTAGTTTTATTTTGCTCTATATGTTGTTTTTGTTATTTGAATATTTGTTTCTAACTTTTTAAATTTTTAGCATTGACAATGGAATCGTAACTGCGTGTGGTCATGTTTTTTGTTTGGGTAATTAAATATATATACTCCTTTGATGTTAATGATTGTATGATTATATAATTTCGTAATCATGTTATCTTTATATTTTGTGATTACGTTTCTGGATTAGATTGCATTAAACGTTCCATTGATTCGGAAAATAAAGAAAATGTTATTGACATTGAGGACAAAACGTGTCCTTTTTGCCGATCTACAATAAAGTATGTTAATTTTTTGTTTTTATATAATGTTTACGTTTAAATTATACTTGCTTACGTACAAATTTTACTTTATAAAAATCAAGGGAACGTGACTTTATTAGTTTAGACGTGTTTATTCCACCTAAAAAGAGTGAACCGCAGGATGATGATGATCTTGATCTTCCTACTCTTGCCGAATCTTTAAAAGCCATTTCAAGCTCCTTTACTGGATCCGATGTTGATGATGTCTTACCATCTTCTGAAAAGGAAGCTTCTGAAAAAAAGAATAATTTTGCGACCAACAACACATTTGCCAATGCACCTGAAGGTTCATTTATGTCTTCCACTAAAATAGATCAATTAATGAAGGAATTAGCTACCGCACAAGAAGAAGAACCCGGTTGTAAAACTATTGTTTTCTCGCAATGGACTTCTATGCTGGATTTAGTTGAAAAGCCTATTAAACAAGTCGGATACAAATTTTGCAGGGTAGCTCTTAATACATAACTCTACAATAAATTTTATAATTTTATTCTCGTTTATTCACCATTTCTTGTTCTTAAAGTACGACGGTACTATGGATGTTAAAGAACGTGACAATGCTTTAAGAAAATTGATACAAGATTCTGAAGTTACAATTATGCTTGTTTCTTTGAAAGCTGGTAATAATGATATTATCCTTAATTAGTATGTTTTGTGCACATTATGAACATTGTATTTATTAACCGTTTTTTTTTGTTTTTTTAGGTGGTGTTGGTTTAAATCTCACCAAAGCAAATAGGGTAATTAATGTTCTGTTTGACGTATATATATATATATATTTTTTTTTTTTTACATTCATATTTTCGAATTTAGGTTATTATGCTTGATTGTTGGTGGAATCCTGGTAAGTTATTGCTAGATAAAATGAGTAAATGAGTAGTTGATTTTTTAGTATCATTAATTTATATTTGTCTTATTTGTGATGTTTATTCGTGATGTCTTGCAGCCGTTGAAGGTTAGTTAAATAATTATAATCATAATTATTATTATTATTTATCTTCGGTTCTTTTTATTTAATTTTACATTGTATTTTTGTTACAGATCAGGCAATCGATCGTGTTCATCGCATTGGTCAATGCAAGCAGGTTATTATAAAACGATTAACTATAAAGGATACTATTGAAGATCGTATATTAATTCTTCAGGATAAAAAGGTACTTTCTGCAAATAAAATTAAAGAGATGATCGAAATCTTGATAAACATCAGAGAATAATTGAAATTTTGTATAAATTCACCTATGTATATTTAGCGTGAGTTAGCTGCAGGTGCCTTAGGAGAAGGAAGTATTAAAGTTGGAAGATTAACAGTAGAAGATTTAATATTTCTTTTCCGTTAGAAATTATTGTAAGAATAATATATGACCATCAGGATGTTCACGATATTCATATTGATTGAATTTCCTGAAGTAAGGATTCGCTAAAATTGAATTTTAGCTGTTATGATTTTATTTTAATTAGAAAGTTAAGCTTTTGTATATAGACACCTTATCATCATGTAAAAAATACATAACAAATATCTGATAAGGTACCGACTACCTACCTGCACAATTCAATAGAACAAAGCAAATTGTGTGCCATGCTGTAAAACACATAATTAGCATACTTTTATTAGAGTTCAACGTACCATTACACTTTAATTATTCATATACCTTCAAACTACATATTACAACTAAATTTCACTGCAACTGCAAAGAATATCATTAGATTTTAAAGATATCCAGAATCTTTTAATATATTAGTGAGCGTGTTATTTATTTATTATAGTATAGAATGATTTAAGCATGACTTAATAAATTAAACTATATAGTTGGATTGTTTGGTAGGTGATCGTGTATCTAATTCATATTATGATTACCAATATATATAATTATTGATTAGCATAATTTAGTTTAATAATGATATAATTTTATTTATCATTATCGAACAAAATTCAAATTGTATAGGTTTATACATAAGAGTTTAAATTTACTGAACTTTGTTATATATTTTACATAATTATTACTGATAATTAGAATTAGCCTTTTTTTTTTACTACCGTTAAACAGTAAAGTTACACAATGGGTTGTTCTTATATCGTAGTAAATATGTTTAATAAGCTTTTTTCAGTTTTAATAATAAGTGTAAGTTAAATATAAATTATATGGTGTAATAAATTTGCGGGTACGTATCATGAATTATATTATGAATGAATTTTATTAATAAAAATTATTCGCTTGTTTTAAATATGGAAGGATTGCTATTATTACTATAACTCTTAATAGTTTCTTTTTGATTCATTATAAATTCATTATAGTTAATTATCTGAGTGGATTTTACTAGAACGTACAAAAATTATAAAACTTGTATTTAAAAAAAAATTGTACTTAAAATATATATATATATATTTATATATGGGTGACGCCAAGAGAAAACCAGGAATTCTAAAAATAGACTTCCATCCACAGCGAAGTTGCGGGGTT